GTCCTCCAGGCACTTTTGTTTTTATCTCAATGGCAAACATTCATGTAATTAAACTGACCTAGTAATTTTTATGGTACTCATGTGACCATAGGTCACTGCTGAGGGTTTATGATGACATGTTTGTCCTCAGCTTGTTAGATACTGGTAGTCTTTGATTGCTTGTGGTTGGATTATCTAAAGGCAGACTGAATTGGGAAATGGAAAATGCCAATCTTGCCAATCAATGTATTTTTTTATTATTCTATTTATTTTTTTATTTTTGAATATGTATGTGGCCTACCATCGTTATTGGAAATCTGAGCAGGGTTTTAACCACCATAGACATAAATATATATTCAGAATAGTGGTTGACATTATGTTTTAATGACACATTGTTTAACTTTTATTTGAGTATAACTTTTATTGGAGTGTTTTAATGAAAACCATAAGTTAGAAGTTGGCGACAAAAGTAATGGGACTCAGGAAGTTGGTTAGGAACAGTGAAAACTCAATAAAGAAATATTCACACATTATGAAGCAAAGTCTATTTTAATAAGACGTTATGATTAGGTGCTGATTATGCATTTGTTTTGCGTGTATATATAGCATATCACATGAGTGCATATGTTTAGTTTATGATGTTATGGCTTTACTTGCATAATGAACTTCACATAGATTCTACAGTATGTTAAACAGACTAATGAAACTTTCCCCGAAGTTCCTTGTGTTTAGTTCAACTCATTATGGATATTTTACTGGAAAACAGACAAAAATGATTAAGATTTTTTTTATTACTTATTTAAAATTTTAAATTAAATGAATTTTGAGCCCTGCAAATAGTTAAACATCATAGTCAGAATGAAAGTGTCCACCCACTCCCGCTCTCTCGCTTTTTCTCTCTGTCCCTGAGAGGTTGAGATCTGCTTAAGTGCTCAAATGCATCTGGATGGAAAGTGACACACGGGCCGAGCAGTCTGTTGCTGTAACATATGCGTTATGGGAGATAGTGTTGTACTACAGCAGCAAGAACAAAAGAGCCTGTTTTCCACTGATAGAAACCATCAGAAGACAGAAAGAGAGAGAGCGAAAAAGAAAGGGAGAGAGGGCTTGCTGACACCAGAATTCTTCAAGCTGACACAGGTGATGGATTAGATGTGTTATCCAGGCGGACTGGGGCTCAGAAAAATCTATCCAAGAGCAGAAAGAGAGAGAGAAAGAGAGAAATACTGCTGCGTCCAACGGACCTGAAATATCCCTCCACATCTCACCCCATATACAGGAAGAGAAAGAACTGACAGTCCTTATAGACTACTCATGGTGCTTTATTGGTGGTTTTCTATCTTTGTCTGTCTGTCAGTCAGTCTGTCTGTCTGTCTGTCTGTCTGTCAGTCAGTGAGTCAGTCAGTCTGTCTGTCTGTCTGTCTGTCTGTCTGTCTCTCAGTGAGTGAGTGAGTGAGTGAGTGAGTCAGTCAGTCAGTC